TCCAAGTAGTCCTATTTTTACAGAAGAACAGGAAAAGCTATATACAAAAAGATTTGAGGAAGGATTTGACATTAGGGATCCTAATTATGAGGCATGGATAAGGATCAACCATCCTTTTAAGTCATTATCAGTTACTTCAGGTGATTCAATAAGCAATATTTCTGCACCACTTTCGTCAACCTCAGCTCCAACTCCATCTCTTTCTGTGCCACTTTTGTCTATGGAAGTGCCAATCATGTCTGCCTCAACACCTGTGTTATCTACCTCTGCATCACTTTTATCTATCTCTAATAGTTCTAATTCTGCAGAGTCAGCTCTTGACAAAATTCTTGTTCTTCCTGAAGCTTCAATGAAGAAGCCTAAAAGAAGAGGCATTAACAGTAAAACGGTTTATCTAAATGATGTTTTAGAAGAAATGAAACAGCAGAAACATGAAAAAGAAGTTCAAGCTGCTGAGCGAGAGGAAAGTCAAAAGTTAAAGAAGGAGGAGAAAGAAAGGAAGAAAAGAGAAAAGGAACGAGAAAGGGAAGAAAAACAAAGAAAGAGAGAAGTAAAACAGAGAGAGAAATTAAAGGAAAAAGAAGAGAAGCAAAAGTCAAAGGAAGAAAAGCAGAGAGAAAAGCAAAGAAAGCTGAAAGAAAAGGAGAGAGAAAAACAAGAGAAGCAGCAAGAGAAGAATTCGAAACATAGAAATTGTAATGATGAAACAGAACTTTGTGAAAGGATTGAGGAAGTTTCATTGCATAGTGAAGAGAAAAACAGTTTATGTCCTAAATGTGGGTTGGCATACTTGGATGACAGTGATGAAAGCAACATTTGGATTTGTTGTGATGGTTGTAATCGTTGGTATGATCTCAAGTGTACAAATATAAGAAGTAAGAGAAGGATTCCTGATCTGTATTATTGCAAAGACTGCCAGGACCAGTAGTAATGTGAATATACTGTGTTTATTGAAACATTATTAATTGAAGCATGTGAATTATGACTAAAATAATGTTAATATATGTAGCATAAGCAATTGGGAATGACCTCAAAGCTTGGCCCGGATTCTAAAAAGTTTTAAAATTAAGTTTTAAAGGTGTCTCATAACTGTCTCGTATTCAGCACTTTGTCTCATTATTGCATCATTTACCAGAATACTACTTTTAGCTCCTTGCCATGAAACATACAAAATATAGACTACAACTTTAATATTCTCTGAAAGATAGAACATTTGTAAGTCTCAAGAAAAATTTTGAACAAAATCTACCAATACAGTATTAAGAAATATAAAATTATAAGTAAATGTCCCATAACTGCCACACCTACTCTAATTTTATGATGTTATGTAGGCGTGGTGTAAAGTGCAGAAATTAAAAATGGCGGATTTTCTGTCCAGCAAATACTATTCAGAAACTAAAGTTTCAAAGCTAAAACTCATCCTAGAAATTTTTTTGGTACGTATCATTGCTTATAAAATGCTGTGACATGTTTATACATTGTAGAAGAAGACCTAGTGGTATAGAAATTCCTGAAGAGGCTAATTGTGTTAATTGTAATGGAAATCTTTTACTGGAAGTGAGCCAGATGTACAGGATAAAGGTGAGATTAGTTTTTCCTTTTTTTAGATTTTTTGAAGTGTGTCAAGTTATGGTTTTGTTTGTTTTTGATTTGTTCATTTTGTAACGTGTGCATGCTGAGCATGAGCTAGTCTCGTGCCCCGCCCCTTCGCTTTTGGAGGAAGGGTCTGGGGACACTCAAGGCTTTTTTGTTGCATAGCGCTGGAATGTCAGCGTCCCAATCAGATTGCTCCAACCACGTGGTACCACCGCAAACTAGTTAATATCACATGATATAGACCCCTTTAGGCGAGAAGTAGCAGCTTGTGAATATCATTAATTTTGCAATGAATATCATTATATCTCAGTTACGGTATACGCCCACATACAATAATTGGCCGCCATGTTTTACGTCAAGCAGCAAGTGCTTTCTGTGTCCTGGAGATCTTGGTCACTACATTTTGAAGCTAAAAACTATTCTAGAGTCAAGAAAGATGCCAAGAGAGCCAACCTAGGAAGTATAGTGTAATACTCTTGTTGTATGAGCCTGCTTTCCTCTTTGGGCTGTGACAGAGAGTCAAGAACTGATCGTTCTGGCTCTCCCAGACTTCTTAAGTCTTCAAAATATCTTGCTATAGTAAAGAACAGTTGATATGAAGCCTCTCATAGTCTTGAGTTCAGCACAACAAAAGTTTTATTGGCAAAACAGCTCTACTTTGCACATCAGCCATTGGAACTCTGCATAACTTTGACGTAAAACATGGCGGACAAAAATCCGTTCAATATTATTTCTTTGTATATACGGTATCACAAACTAATTCTCGCCTAAAGGGGTCTATAATTTTAATAAAATGGCCTCTAAAAGATAAGTAGAATTTGTAGGAGCTTCATGAGTTGTTATAGGATTTGAGGTCCAAAGAGAAGTAAAGGAGGAACAGAAATGAGCATCACAAAGTCTGTTATTGATGATTAGGATAGTTTCTTGTGCCTGCTGACAGGATTTAGTGGCAAACAAAGTGTCAATCACTACTGTGGCTCTGTACTGCATCATGTC